ATATCGAGACCACATCCATCCCAAAAAAAACAATCCCAAAACAAAAAACAAAAACAAAAAGAAAAAGAACAAAAAACACAACGCCGCAACACTGCAGAAAAACCCCCGCACCCCAAATCACCGCGGAATCGGTAGATAGCGGACAAATCGACGGCGACAACGCAACACAAACACGACCGAAGACCAAAGAGGGCACACACGTGTCGACACAACACCACCCCAGAAAGCCGACGTGCCGCAAAAGCAGAGCTCGCAAAACCGTTAAGAAACCGGCTCTCCGGCAACAGCAGCCACAGAGATCAAGATCCTATGGCCCAACGTTCCCGAAAAGAACCCGTTCAGCGCGCAGCGTCACGGGGAGGGCGACTTAGCTTTAGGAGAATGGGGTTGATGGAATGAGAAGTTGTCTGGAAATTGAGGCCTCCGTTAACTGCCTCTCAGTATGTGGAGCAGCAACGCTGCATGCATTCACACAGCAACCCCATCAGCAGAGTAGGGAATCTTGATCTCAGCAAGGACCAAAAAAGGTACCAACACAATACCCTATTGCACTCATACTCTTTCTGTGGCAATGCATAGGTTTTTGATGCTTAAACCACCACTACCTTTCACAGCCAGACTCGAAACACCCAAATGTGCCATCGAAACAACCCAAATCTGACATTGCATGATTTTCAGGCGAACAGTGCTATTGGACCAAATGGCTGGCCGCGCTGGCGGTTCAGGAAAGCTTGGCGGGCAGTTGTTTTCTTCCTAGGCAAAAAGAGGCTCGGAGGCAGTGGTGGTTTAAGGGAAACTGGCCCTCAATCAACAAGTTGCTGGCACACTCAGTGAATCTGTGTCTGTCAGTTGTTCTATTGTGAGCTATCAACATGCCATGAAAACAGTAAACTGTAATGACCTTCCAAACACGGACCGAGACACACAGCTGATTTCTGAGTTTTGCTCATGGAATGTATACCTTGCTGAGTTTCCCGCTTGTTGCCGAGTTTTCTAAGTCTGTGTGGGTGCGTGCTTGCTGGTCTGAATGCCTGTCTGAGTGATTGTCGCCTTGAGTGTGTGTGTGACCCGCAAGGGCACTTGTTCAGAAGGCCCGAAGGCCCGGTACTTACCTGTGGCCGTGACATTGAGGGTTGCAGTGGGGAAAACACTCAAGCGGCGGGGAAAGAGGCCCGCGGCATTTAGAGCAGCGGAAAACACTCGAGTAGCAGGTGGGCCGGTACCACACCAAGTAGAGGTAGATGTGCCGTGTACTCGAGGCCGAGCAGAAGAAGACAAAAGTTGGCATTTTTAGAGGCCCAGTAGTTGTAGGCTAGGTCTAGGCGGGTACCAGTCCAACCAGTCTGAGTCTAGGGCCTGTATGGGCAATATCAGAGTCTGCAATGATGTTTCCCTCTGGAAGGGAGGTACTGGTTGCTCGGAGGCCGCGCGGCTTAGGAAGTCAGTCGCCAAGAGGCAAGCAGGCCGCTATATCTCCAGGAGGAGCAAAGAGCTCCTCCTCATTGTCGGTGTGCAAGTTTGGCGACACACTGGTTGGAGCGCTGGCTGGAGCAGCGCTAGCACAGAGCTGCAGCAGGAAGGCCCCAGTTGGGGTAGAGCTATACCAAGAAGCTTCGAGGCAGAGTCAGGCATCGCGGCCTGAGCCAGAGCAGCCATAGCTGCTTTGTGTTGTCCTTTGCACAGCAGGGTGATGCCCTGGTAGTCTGCCATAGCCTCGGCCCTGGAGGAAGGAGGAAGAAGGGTGGCCATGGCTATGGTGGACCTCATGTGATACCTGCAGTAGAAGAGGGATTCGGACATTGATTCTGGTTCAGCCATTCAACATTATTATTATTACTTCTTGTTTGAATAAGAGGGGAGGAGATAAGGAGGAGGAGAGTGTTGGTGAAGAAGGAGGGAATTCTCATTGGTATTTGCTGGTGTACATCTTCTTCTTCTTCTTCTTTCCCTCTCTCTCCTCTCAAGTTCATTCATTTCTTTTTGCAATTGGACGGCATTGAACTTTCTCATTAATGTGTACTTCGAAATTGTGCAGGATCATAACAAAATATAGAAGCAACTTAAGCAAGGACTCCAAAAAAGAGGAAAAAAGCAGAGCAAACATGTAGTACACGGCCATACCTCTCCATAACCAGGAGGTCCATTCATATCAATTTTGACTGCAGCATATTTTTTCTTTTTGAGAAGAAGCATGCGTTTGAATATACCATCCATCTCGATCTCCAGCAGCTTGTAGAGTTTGTTGATCTATGGGAATCAGTACAAAAAACCATGGAAATAGAGTTGGGTGAATACCAAACAAAAGCAAGAAAGCAGTACGCTAGAAAATGTTGTTGTTTCAGAGGGTGACCCATTTATGCCATGCCTTCTTGCCCGTAACCTCCCTTGACCCAGATCGCACCGACCAGGCCGGCCCGCTGGGTGTTCGAGGGGGGTCAAAATGACCACCTTTCAGGATAGCTAATAAAATGACCAGCTTTTCAGGATAGTTACTACTCCCATTCACTATGTATTCCTGTTACTGCTACTTTTATAAGTCGATATGTGATGGTGATGACATTGTGAGGAAACTATCCAAGCAGCCAGAAGTTAAAGGCATTGCTCTTGGAAGAAAGAACATCTGGCTCTCATCACAAGGCATTTTCACTCATTCATTTGCTTCCTCATGATGAGTCTCAGCACAAAGAAAGGCAGTTTTGCGTAATGGACAGTATAAAACACATGACCATCTCATCTACTGTGTGCTGACCATCTCATCTACTGTGTGCTGACCATCTCATCTACTGTGTGCGGACCATCTCACCTACAAACTGTTGATCCGCAGGGTAAGAGTTCAGACTCCGTCCAATTCTATGATGTACAAGGTTACCCACAATTGTCCAAAGTCCCAGAATAGTAACCTGTGGACCCAGAATCGGGTCACTACCAGACCAATGTTGCCACTTCGTGGCCTTCCACATTTATTTAGAACAAAGCAATGCTCCTGCTGTGACAGTGCTGTCACATCCGCTGAGTTCATATCACAACAAGAAGGGCCAGTACAGCACCGCCTGCACCAAAAAGTATACTCTGTGACGATCCAATCAGTGGGAAAGGGAGGAGAAGTGAGGCTGCTGAATCAAAAAACACAAAAGGGAACAATTTTTTTGTCTGGATGTGTATTTTTCCCGGACCGGCAAGCTGGTACATCTCGCCAGACATGGCGCGAGCACTGCCGCGTCGTAGAAAATGGCAGGAATTGCTGGTGGTTCAAGCACACACAAAAAAAGGAAGAATCACTGTGAGAGGGAAACACAAAATGATGAAACGGAAGTTCAGAAAGGAAGCAAGCATAGGAGATTTCCAAAGAGGAGTTCTCACCTAGTCACTGACTGTTGTGGTGTTTGGTACTCAGGCAAAGAAATGGAGCGGAAGATGCACAAAAAATGGAAAGATGCGAGGTGAAATGATCCAAACGTCTTAGCACCCACTCACAGTACCAAATCCCAATTTCCCACTTGTGTATAGATCAGTTCGTAGTCTGGGCGAGCAGTTCCCAGTACGCACCATACCTAGCCCGTCTAGGAGTCAGTGGAGTAGGGTCTGTAAATACCTGTAGATGTAGTAGGGTCAGTCAGTTGGGTCGGGCCACATCTTGTTTCCCCCCCCCTCCCGAAAAGTCGCATTGTGATGCGAGGACAGCCCTATGGCAGTCCGAATCATCATCGGCCGCAGCCAAGGCTCAAAGGACCACCGTCACACGCCTGACTGTGGACCTACAGTGAATACAAAAGTCAAGCCGTAGGCAGCATCAACACTTTTCGGCGAGTCATTTGTTGCGGAAGCGCAATGCATTACTGTGCAATGCGGACACGATGGTAGCGCCGAGAATAGTTGAGAAGTATATAGTTACTGACCTCGATCATACCTTTCTGACTGCAGCCAGTGGTATGTAGATGTGAAGGCTGAACTTGTAGAGAAGTACATAGATTTTGACCTGGATCATACCTTTCTGACTGCAGCCAGAAGACTGCCACGACAGGTCATGGGGGTACTGATGGGAGAAAGCAATAGCCCCCCGCTGGTCTGTCTTTTGTACATCTACAAGGAGGCGGGGCCCCTGAGTTCCGTGGAGAAGGATGAAAGCCTGATTCAGGGTATTAGTTTGCTTGATGATTTGTCAGTATTTGTTTGGAAGGAAAGCAGTGTAAAGGGGGAAGGGAGAGGAAAGGAGCTTAAAGGGGAATTGGCTGGCAGTTGAAAGAACTGATGAAGGGCAGGGGGTGTGGTCTTGTTCGGCTGCAAATTGCAGGTCAAATAATACCCTCGTAGGGTTGAAATCCGATATCGAGGGAAGAATGAAGAAAATGCGTGGTCAGGAGACTTTTCGTGCCGCTCTATGCGGAGTTTTAATCCATATTCTGATAAAAAGCAGGAAAATGCAGATCTAAGTTCCCTCCCCAGGATTCAAGCCTGCACGAGTACAGTGGAATTGTCCTAGGAGCTTTCTTTGATGGGACTTCGGAACGTTTCATGAGGACGAACACCCGGAGTGGGATAGGTTCAGGGACTTGACTTTGGAATGTTTCCTCAGTAGAAAGCACCGGAGTCGGATAGATTAAGGGACTTAGGAGAGGACCTAACAATGGCTGCAATCGTATCTAGTCATTGTCTGCCATCCAGTTAACACCAGCAGTGAAGGCTGCCCCTTGAAGCAGTTCTGGGACCGGCAGAAACATGGGGACTGCCAGTGCTGCTAGTATAGGGAGTGAGGATAGAAAGGAAGCTCAGGTGTTGTTGAGGACTAACCGGAGCATGGTGGAGGCCAGGCAAGCGCTCGGAAGGAAAGAGGGATGCTGTCAGCGAGGAAAGTTTTCATTGGGTTGGCTCTCTTTGGGTTTCTTCTCGTGGACAAAGGCTCGGTGTCTTGCATGTTCTGCATGGCTGACTGATTGCTCTCCTGGCTACTGCAATGCATTTGTGCTCGCTCTCAGGGTCTGCTCGGGGCCCAGCGTCCCTTGGGTGCGCAGTGCATCAGATGGGCGCAATATTATGTGGGCTGGGATGCAATACTATGTGAGTTGGTTAAATACTGTGGGGCTGCGTATGTGGACCCACGTTGGGCGGTTTGGGTGTTATACTATGGAGGCTGTGTATACGTGCCCACCTTGGGTGGTAATGTGGGGCCACCTTCGGTTCAATAATATCTTTTATTTTATTGTAGTTTTTAATTCCTGCTGGAATCTAGGCCAAGGGTCCCTTTGACAGCCCACCTTGGGTGCTGTAATATGTGCCCTGGGTGCAATACTATAGGGGCTGCGTGTGATACTCGTGGGCTGGGTGTTGTGCAGCCTGGGTTTGTTGTGATAACTTGTGGGCTGGGTGCAGTACTATGTGACTGGATGGAGAACTATGTGGGCCAGGTGTGGTGCTATCTGGGCCAGGTGTGGTAGAATGAGGGCTCGGTGTGGTACTATGCTAGCTGGGTGTGGCACTGAGCGGGTTGGGCGAGGTGCGGTGCTATGTGTGCTGGGTGCTGAATAACGAAGCTGGGTGCGATACAATGCAGATTGTGGGCTGCTTGTGGTGGGCTTTGGGCTGGTTGCAATGAATGGGGTTGGCAGTGCTGGCAGTAGGGTGGGTGCAGTGCACTGCAGATTGGGTAGGATGGGTTGTGGGCTGGGTGCGAGGGATGTGGGCTGGGCTGAGTGGGCTGAGTGTGATAATATGTACTGACCTTGTGTATCGATCCAAGCAAATATTGAGAGAGTAGACAGGGGCGTGGTACTATGTGGGTTGGGCGTGGTACTATGCGGATGCGGGCTGGGCTGGTACTATGCAGGTTGGGTGTGGTAGTCTGTGGAGTGATGTTGTGCTACATGCTGCACCTGCAACAGGCTGCCCGGGCCATTTTCAGGCCCGTGTCATTTTCAGCCCGAAAGCCTGAAAAGAAGGGCCTACAGGCCCTGTGTCGTTTCAGCCTGAACGCCTGAAAACAAGGGCCTACAGGCCCTGTGTCGTTTCAGCCTAAAACAGGGCCTTTTTGGCCCTGAGTCTTTTCAGCCTGAAACAGAGGGCCATTTTCAGGCCCTCATAAGATCGACCTGCCCTGAAACTCAGGCACCAGACCAGGGTTTTAGCTCAGGCCATTTTTGGCCTATTTTCAAGACAACCTTTGTTTGAGCTTCAACGCCAATGTCTGGCACGTTTTGGCATTGGCAAGAGCAGCCTCCTGGACAGGCCAGCACTATATAAGACTGGCCTGCCCTGCAGGCTGCAGGTAGTTCCTAGGTACTTCCCAGGCGCTTCACGTGCAGTTCAGTAGGCAGGAGGTAGTCTTCAGGATTCGGCAGCAGCACTCTGGAGGAGTGCTGAAGGAGTATTAGTAGCATTAGCAGTAGTCCTCAGCACTGGGCGCTCGTCGGTGCTGGAGTAGTACCCGAGAGAGAGAGAGAGAGAGAGAGAGAGAGAGAGAGAGAGAGAGAGAGAGAGAGAGAGAGAGAGAGAGAGAGAGAGAGAGAGAGAGAGAGA